ATACATATTGTTGGAACCTTAAATTGTTATATTTTTGTAGAACCCAGTTTTACCAGGATTGTCGCTGAATCTTATGTTCCTGGTTTTACCAGAACTGTCATTACCTCTTGTAAGACATTTCTACTGATTTTGTTTATACTGTACCCAAAATTTAGAATATATATTGTTGGCACTTTTGTGGTAGTAATAACCTGACGTTAACATTACATTATATTTTTATAAGACCTGGTTTTATCAGAATTGTCGCTGGATCATATGTCACCTGTTTTATCAGGACCATTATTATACGTTATGTCTACATTATTTTCAACGCTAGTAGACATCAATTCTCCTATTGATTTTTTATTATCTCTAGTAAGAGCAGCTTTTTTCTAGTGCCTTTATGGTTTTTACACTAAACATTAATCTTTTTCAACTTCTTTTTTAAAAGGTCACCAATTTTAGTAGTGATCATCAGCCTTCTGAGCAAGGGTCCTTAATAGAAAATAATAACATCAATAATGGAATTATAATCAACACAGATTTAAAAGAAAGTGAGAATCCAATAGATACTTCAGGATTAAATAATGACATAACCTTTGTAGACTGAATAGAATTTAAAGTATGGATGGATCATTATTCAAAAAAAAAAAATTTAGTTATAAGGTTAGAACTAGTCAAAAGGATGAAGATGTAATACAATGTGCTACTTTAGAATGTTCAAGATCAGGTATTCACAATCCTCAAGTAACTTGTAACTCCACTAAACGGCGAAATGCAGTTTTACAACAGACAGAATGTTTCTGGAGGCTTAATGTGTACTGTTCTAAAAAAAGCAATATTTTAAAGATTACTTCATTTGTGGATAACCATAATTATGTGCTTAGCACAACTATTTATGAAATAGCACCAAGATTCAGAAAATTAACACCAAAAATGTTATCTGATATTGAAAAATATGTAATTCAAGGCTGGATGGACTCTGGATCTATTTACCCTTTATTTAAACATGACTATCCCAATAACTCCATCTTTAAAAAAGATCTTTACAATGCGGTATATCAGTTTTGAGCTACAAATAATCCAGGTGACTCAGATGCATCCCAAATGCTTCAAATGTTATTAAGTTGGAAGAAATTTGACCCTTTATAGATAGTTAAACCACACTTAGATCCTTTTTCTAGATGTCCTATATAAAAAACTAGTTTATAAAATAAGCACAATTGAGCTATTATAATTTGATGTGATATTACATTACACCAAATTGTAATTGCTATATAATACAGTAACATGCTAGTTTATTTATATATTCATGTGATATATGTATAATACACATAGTATACAAATAGAAATAGTCTTAATTTTAATAATCAAAAGCTACTCTAAATTAAATTTTTGGTTCAACTTAGAGTAGCTTATATGAGTGAAAAGTAT